CATCATAACTATTTAGAATGGGTAATGATTAAAAATGATTCAGATATATTCACATGATGTACAAATTGAATAAGAACTGAAGATAGAATAGAAGAATCACATGGAGGTAGTTCATGACAAAATAATTACAAAAGAGAAATAACATAAAGTCAAATATATCCTCAATCATTTACCATGCTTGATGAACTTACTTCATTAAATAACATAAAGTTAACTTATTTCAACGAAATCTTTTTATATTGTGAAAGTAGTGGTATAATGTGCATATCAGAGTTCTATTGTGGTGAAAAAAAATTAAATTGATCCATAAGACGTTCTATTCTTTCATTAAAGAAATATATTTCAACAACTTTCAAATATCTTTAAAAACAAATAGTTAATTTAATATAATAAATATTAAATTATTTCACTTTTACTATATCAAAAGAAAAGTGCAATTCTAATATCAAAACTTTATTTTAGTTTGATTTATTTAACCTCCATTAATATTTGAGATATGTGAACTTTTAGTGTTTATTTACAAAGTGTTGAATAAATGAAGGCTAGCATTTTTTTTAGTTGTTAAATTTGGATGTAAAATTTATATTTCAAATTTTGATATATTTTGACTTCAAATTTTAAAAATAATTATTTTAATTTAATAACATTAATATTTTTAAATTTACTAAATGTTACTATGGGTCTAAAGTCGGTCGATCGGGTACAATGACCTACTGACTTGAAAGAACCGAGCGATATATGTGCAAAAAAGACCTTTGCATCTGCTCGGTCCGACAATAGTTGAACAGAGTTAAAACACAATTAATATTACAATGGTTATTGATGAGTGGTTAAGGTTTGCATTAATGAATAGAGTTAAAGCATAGTTTAAGGTAAACTCTCTTTTTTCATAATTGATTTACTTTAAAACCTACAGACAAAAATTTTGACTTCAGCCAGTATATTTACAGGTCATCCCCTACACCAATCAGTTACAAGAATAGAGAAAGGAACGAACGATTCGACGAAAACAAGAACAACACACAGAAAGTATCTTGTTCCAATTTCTATTATTCATAGAAAGACTAAATAATAAAACTGACATTTAAATTAAAACATATCCATCAAAATAAACAATTCAAAAAACAACTTAAAATATTTTAACACATAAAACACATTCACACATATGAATTAAAAAGAATGTATTTATTTATTTTTAAAATTTACAAACTAAATTATATCACAATTTAATTTATAAACAAATTTTAATTTAATATTATTTAAGGATTAAAATTATATTTAACCTAACAAATTATAATTATGAAGAAGGTAAGAAGACGAAAGTCACTCCATTTTGTTCTCATTTTCACGTTTTGATGAACGGTTTTGATAATGGATGAGCATGTATAGAGATTGGGGTCCAATGTCCACGTGAGGTTGGTATGGACGAAAGGCTGATATTAAAAGCTATAGTACAACTCAGTGCTGCCACTAATAATTCACGTTCAATAATTCACAACCTATCTTAGTGCTTTCCTTCTTTTCACAACATGCATGTTGTTCATCAATTTTTCGAATCACTTTGCCCTAAAATCACTTTATTTTTAACATCATTTTTACTCTCTTAATTTAATATTTAGGAACTACAACCATGTTTTACCATATTTAAATTATTTGTTTTATTTGAAGGATTAAAAGAGTATTATCTCAAATTTAAAAATCTTAAAAAACAGTTATTGATTTTCTCTTAATACGTGATGTTAAAGGTTGAATTACAAATTATCGTATTGACTAAATAATGCACTATAAAAATATCTAATTTTTTCAGCGTTTTTTACGTTTTCGGCAGTTTTAACCTGCCTAAATACATTTTTCGTGATTATGAAAACCACGAGGAAAAACTGCATCAGTAATAACTGTTGACGGTTTTTTACCAAGGATTTCCAAAATCGTCGATAATTATCAGGGATTTTCAAAATCGTCGGCAATTATCAGGGTTTCCAAAATTGCTGATAATTACTAAGGTTTCCAAAACCGTTTGTAATTAATAGGGATTTTCAAAATCGTTGATATTTGCAGAGATTTTCTTAAAACCGTTGATAATAATCACTGGAGATTTTCAAAACCGTTAACACTTGTAGGGTTTTTTCAAAACCGTCAAAAATGAAAATCATTTTTTTTAATATTATCTTATTTTCATAAAAAAATCTTTAATAATAAAAGACATAATTAAATAATTTGAAAATAAAAATAAATATTATTGTATAAAATATACTCTAAACATTATATGTTAATATTGTTGAATACAACTAGTTATTGAACATAAAAAATAACATTTATCTACATGGTTATTGATAAATTTATTTCTTTATTCTATGAAACATGGTTCATTTATCTATCCAACTACCACGTGTAATTTAAAATCTCTAACCCGATATATCAAAGACATGTAATTTATATACGTCTTCCATTCAATATTTTTACTTCAATTTGGACGGTGATTTAACTTGTGGCAGTTGATATTAGTCACAGCTTTAATATTATTTTGATTCGCCAATGCAATGTCAATGTAACTTTTTTACATTACATATAATGAATTTTCTCACATGTTTCCAGTGAAGATAAAATGGTTACTAGATTATTTTAAATATATAATGTTTCGGTGAAAAGTTTGTGGGACCGAGACACTACCCTTTCTGACTTGACTTTTCTTCTTATGACCTTTGAATCTCCTGTTTCAAGTTTTTCAAGTCCGGGTTATGAACTCAGTAAAGCGTGAGTAGAATGTTTTGCAGTGTGAATTGAGCCAACCTGGGTGATATCCTTGACCTTGTATTTATAAGTTATCACAAGGCAAACAGACTTACCTTGAAATTCGGGCGGTTGCTCATTATTTTTGACTATTTCAATCATCCAGTGGACACTTGGTCCAATAAGCGCTAGCTCAATTGTGGTCTAGTTTTAATAAAATCGATCGTCCTTGTTGGCTATAGTGGTGATCGAATGGTGCTGAGTGTCTAACCGTTCAGTATCTACTAGGTATAATACACAATTGACGAACGCCGACATGGTTTAACCTGGCTGACGAGTATTGTCTGGTTGACGAGCGATATTGTGGTGTGATCTGGTTGACGAACGCTGTTGGAACGACAAACGCTGTTACAAAAGATAGACCGATCGGTCTTGGATACTAACCGTTCGACCTATATATGATAGTATACAAAAAAAAAAACAACTTTAATATAAATTTATGTATATATGAATATTAATATAGTATAAAGAATCCCAATGAATATTGAGTGTCTAATTGAGATAACTTCAACTTCTTTCAGTCCATTAATTTCTTAGTCACCTTCCCATTATTTGAAAAACAAAATGAAATTTAATTTTTACATTTTAATAAGTTTATTGAATTAGATGCGAGACAGAAATAGAGAGAGAAACATCCGTATGAAATAATAAAAGAGACAATTACCGAACATTCATCACGTTGTTTGGCCGAAACGACGATGTATCTACATCGTTCAGTTGAAACAAGATAACCAAATAATTGCACTTCCCATGGCCCAACTAACTATACTTTCCATTCATTACTGTACTGGATCATACAAGTTCTCTGTATAAATTAAACGAATTCTTGAAACAATAGATCTTAGATTGGTTATTGAAATGAGTGAAAGATCATAATAATTTGTGAATTATAAGAATAATTTAAATTGGGTTTTAACATTAAAATATAATTACGGATTTATTCTTTCACTCCAAAATCTTTTGCAAGCAAAACTCTTAGTATTTTTCTGCCTATTTTGACTCTTTAAAATTCCATAATTTTACATTTTATCTCTAAATTAGGTGGCTAGGCCCTACTCATTAGCCAGTTGAGCTGGGCCAATAAAGCCAATTTTTTTTAAACTTATACTAATTCTATAAGAAAAAATAAAATAAAAAATGCTGGAAAAATATTTAGGTTAGAAAATGATTGGTCCAATATGATCCATTTATTCACTAAACAGAGTTAAATTTACGTGATTCTTTTTAAACATGATTTTTTATACTGTAGTGTGTTTGAATCGCTCTTTGGACTATTGAGATTAGATTAATTTTGATAACCCTAACTCAATTAACAAATACAGTAACGTATTCAGAATTTGATTACATGTATGAGTATTAGTTTAGGAACTAAAATAATTAAATTTATTGGCGAGTGGGAATAAATTAAATTGTTCCATATTTTACTCGATTACATTGCTTGACTTTGTATCTATAATAATTATAATAATTGAGGTTAAAGTTATGGGAATCTTTTACAGGTGTGTTTCTCTAGTGAATTGGAGCAGGTGTGTCTCCTCATACAATAGCTTCTTCAATTCCCTTCAAATTAAATTTCAACAGCCTTTGGGCCATTTGAATTCAGAAGCCCACAAAATAATATTGAATGTCTTTTTTTTTTTCATTTGGTTCGAATAAATGCTTCATTTTCTACCATTTTAATGCTTCATTAAGAGTAAAACACGCATATACGAGTAAGTTTTTCATTTATCCGTCGGTTGATGATATTTATGACATTGTATATATAAGACTTTTATATTTTTTCTTTATTATGAAACAAATTATTTAGCACATTTCTATCAGAAGCAACTCACGAGTTACTTCATAGGTTAGAAAATGTAATTTGCAGTCATATGTTATATTATCACTAAACAACTAAAACAACAGAGGAGATAAGTTTAAAAAGTCACAAGAAATTGGCATATAAATGTAATTTTATGTGATGATATTATTATTAATTTTGTTCCCAGAAAAGGTGATATTAACACAAAAGATGTGTCTTGTTGAAGACACACTAGGAAGAACGAGGAACGGTTTAAGAGTTAAAAGGTTTAAAGAAAAATTAAGAATGATGTCCTTTTTATTTACTAATAAAATAATTTATATTAAAATGTCATAATTTTATTTAATTTTTCTTGTTTAGTTTTAAGATATATTTTTTTTGGAAACCTAAAACAATTAGTATTAAAAAAATGGAACTTTGTTTCTTAAAGGCACGAAGAACTAGTAACGGTAACGGTAACGGTAATAATGACGGTGATGGTGACGGTAACAATAATGGTAACAGTAACTGTCACGGTAACAGTAATGGTAACAATTACAGTCACTGTAATGCTAAAGGTAATGGTAAGGAGAACCATGACAACAGCGATAACGATATCATTAATAGTAATAGTAAAGATAAACATAATGGTAACATCATCAAGAACAAAGTTAGGCTTGTAGCAAAAGGATACAAGGAAGAAGATGATATTGATTAAGATGAAAGTTATGCCCCATTTCAAAGTTCGTAGTTATACGCTTACTTCCATCTTATGCATCTATCATAAAATGCAAACTTTATGAAATGGATGTTAAGAGTATTTCTTAAAGGTTTTATTAAACAAAATGTTTTTGTTGAACAACCTTCTAGTTTTGAAGATTAGAAACATCCTAATCATATTTATAAACTAAATAGAGCATCGTATGGACTAAAGCAAACACCTAGTTCTTGGTTCGAGAGGCTTAGTTATCTTTTGTTACAATGATGGTAATGGAATAGTGACTGACTATCATAGTGACGTTGTCGGTGACAGTGACAGCAACAGTGACAATGACGGTGACAATAAGAGTATGGAAAACGATAATGGTAATTGTAACGTAGTAGTAACGGTAACGATAACGTTAACGTTAACGGTGACGGTAGCGGTAATGGTAATGGTCATAGTAACGGTGACTATGATAGTGACAGTATGATGACGATGACCGTGATAGTGACGGTCATAGTAACGTTGTCGATGACAGTGATGGTAACATTGACTGTGACATTTACGATGACAGTGAAGGTGACAATGATAGTGACGGTGACGCTAACGGTAATGGTAACAGTGGCAGTGAGAGTGATTGTGATGGTGATAGTGACATAGACATTGACGGTGACAATGATAATAATGGTAATGATGCAGTAACAGTAACAGTGGCAGTGAGAGTGACAGTGTTGGTGATGGTGACGGTGACAATGGTGATGGTGGTGCTGTGATGATGACGGTGTGTTGTCAGTGATGGTCACGATGACGATAACAATCATAGTGACGGTACTAGTGACAATTACGGTGACAATGACAATCATAGTGATGGTGACAATAACGATTATGGTAACGGTCACGGTCATAGTGGCAATGATGGTGACGATCACAGTGATGGCAACGATGACGGAAGGAATAACGGTTACGATAATGGTATAAGTAATGGTAGCGATAACGATGAAAGTAACGGTGGCAGTGACACTAACAGTGAATATGATTATGACGGTGATATGAGGTGACAGTGACTGTCACGGTGATGACGATGATGATGGTGACGTTCACGATGATACTGAATGTGACAATGACAGTGCAGTGACAATGACATGAGTAATGGTGACATTGTAATGACAATGATAGTCAGGTGATGATAACAGTGACAACGACGATAATGGTGACAATGACGGTGACGTTGATGTTGACAGTGCTGGTCACGGTGACAATTTTGGTGTCAATTACGGTCACAATGACGATAATAGTCATAGTGGCAATTATGGTAACGGTCACAGTGACAGTTTTGGTAACAGTAACTGTAACGGTAATACTAACAATAACGGTATTACTAACAGTAACGATAATGATAACGGTGACGGTAATGGTGGGGGTGAGTGTAATAGTAGCAATGACGATGATGGTCACAATGACGTTGTCGGTGACAGTGATGGTGACAATGATGTTGCCGATAGCGGTGACAGTAACTATAATTGTAACCATAACGGTAACGGTAATGATGACAATGACGGTGACAGTAACAATGACTGTGACAATGACGATGTGATAACGGTGTCGGTTAAAGTGACGGTGATGGTGACAATGACGATGACAGCGACGGTGGCAGTAACGATAACGCTAACGATAACTGTAATGGTAATGAGAACGATTACAGTGGCGGTGTAGGTAACGGTGACAGTCATGGTGACAGTCATGGTGACAGTGACAGTGACAATGAATGTAACAGTGATTGACATGATGGGTACAATGACAATGCGATGACGATGATGGTCACAGTGAAGATAATGGTGACAGTGACTACAACGGTGATGATGACGATGATAGTGACAGTCATAGTGACGGTAACGATGACGGTCACAATAACGATGACAATTACGGTGACGGTAACAGTCACGGTGACGAGTCACAATGACGATGAAAGCTTTAGGCATTTGTGTTTACACTAAATATTTAACTTCACTATAAGTTTTTTCATGTCTTATCATTAACATTTCTACCATTAGGGCTGGACATTCATCACCTTCTAAATTTTTAAGAATTTTAATAAAATTCGTTTATGAAAATTCTATTCATATTTTAGACTTTTAATATTAAAATAATTGAGTATTATCGTTTAAACACAATATCAATTCTAAGACATGATTTTCTATACTCTTACAAATCTTACATTTTTTTGTATTTATCATTATTCTAATTCTCACTTAATATTCAATACATTTTTTTATTCTATAATTGGAACATAGTTTATTTTAGATTAATATGTGTATACGCTAATATAGTGAAGACCTTTTACATCAATTAATTTTTATTTTTATGTTAGAGATATATCTGATTTATTGTCGAGCACGTAAATTTACATCACATTGAAAATACACCATGTAAATTTATGTTGGACATTTCTACATGTCTGACGTAAAAATGAAATATTATGTTGGATTACACTAGCTCCGAGATAAAAATGTCTACAATTAATAGAAAATGTTTAATTAATTATTTAATCCTTTTATTTATTGATTTGGTTAATTTTGATTTCTTTACAGTTTTTTGGGTTCAATTTAGTCCTTCAATCTTTTAGAAAGGTTCAATTTGATCATTTCGATTAAATTAATGTTAACACTATGTTTGTATATATCACTTATCAATTCGTTAAATTTTCAATTTTTCGGATTTATTATTTTATTTATTTTTAAATATAAACAATCACATATCATATTATGGTCATGCCATGTAACAGTGTCACATGTCAGTGTTACTTCCACATAACACGACCATGACCTCATACGTTATAATTTATATTTTTCTTTTTAAATTAAAAAATGGAAAAAAAATCAAAAAATATATTTTACGAATTGACATGTAATTAATGTCAATTTAACAAAAATTACCAAATTGCACTTTTTAAAAAAATTGAAAAACTAAATTTAACCCAATAAAAAGACTAAAAAACCAACAAATTAAATGACTAAATCACTAATGAAATCTAAAGAAAACTATATTAAAATGAACAATTATGGTGTTGCTTATCAAATGAAATTATTTTAAAAAGTTAAGGAAGAATTAGTGAACACTAAAATCAAACTCAAAAAAAGTTACAGGATATCCTGAACTAGAGATACACTTAAATTTGTTCAAGTCAATCTTCTTTTCTTCTGGCCAAGGTTATAAGTTAATGATTTTGATAAACTATTGTTTATGTGAGTGTACCTTAATAAATCAGTAAACATTTATCCGAAAAAAAAATTGGTGGTATGGAAGAAGACTGCAAAATTCAAAATTCTTATACAAAATACATCAAAAGAAGTCCACCATGTTTGGTAAAAGCTGGAAGGAGTTTATGTAGTGAATGGATTAAAAGAAGTTGACATAGTTCTATTCTAGTATGAGAATTTGGGAGGAGTCAACTTAAATGTTTTTTGTTAATGAATGAATTTTTTCTTCAGCAATATTTTGTTGTACAAGTGCCACTTTAGACCACTTTGTATTTTGGGCTAATGAACATTTTCTTTTTTTGCAATTATTATATATATATATATATATATATATATATATATATATATATATATAATTTGGATGTTTTATTTTTTTCTTTTATTGATCTGTTGTTATTTTACTGATATAGAATAACCTGCCATTTGGTGTATGCAAATTAATTATTTGCTTTTCCAAATTGTTTTTTTTCTTTAATACTTTCTTCAATTATTAAATATTTTTTTAATTTATCTAACTTTGTAATGACAGACTTATTTTATGTATGTCTTATATTTAATATTTATAATTAATAGCTTTCATTCATTTTGTTAATGTGTTAATTTCAAGTACAAGTTCCTAATGAACTAAATAAAGTTGTCCCCTTGATTTTGGAGTAAATAATTGGTCCATTTCGCTTTTTTACTCAAAAAAAATATATACACTATTAAAAAATATTGATCAAGAAAAACGTTTTTGTGTGATAATGTGTTTTTAACATAATTTAATGGCTTATGAGTGTTATAAAAATAAGAAGAAGAAGAAAAAACATCATTATTTTCTTAAAATCATTTCATTAATTACAAGAAACAAAATTTATTTACTATTATTTAAAAAAAAATCTACATTACATGAGAACTGAATGTCAGAAGCAAGAAAATTCGTATAAAGTAATAATAAACATTCATAATTTAAAATAAATTTAAATAACCAAAATAAAAGGTAAACATCATATGAGAGCTAAAGTGAGTGAGGAGGGACCTAGGGGCAAGCAAATGTCAAAGAGATATTACGTACGTCCCCCAATTATTTCTCTGAACTGCATTGATTCTGAAATTAAAAAAATAAAATAAAAACTATACTATTCCTTTGATTAAATTAAAATATATGCGATTTTCAGCACGCATAGTATATAAAATACGATCACATCTGACCACAATCACCAAATCCATCATGGCAATACGTCAATATCACGTGTTGCCTATACCAGTCGTTTACGGCTTGTAATTTTTCTTTTCTATTCCCTAAATTCAAATTATGAAGTAAAAACTGTCAGAGTAATTATTGCACTTCGCATATTCGCATATGATTAAGAATAATACTAAATACGCACATAATTGCGTTCACTTTTCACCACAAACATAACACTTGGCCTTGGCCTTCGCTTTTATAGAACCACAAAAATATTTCAAAGAGAAAAATATGCTCTTATGCTCTTTCAATTTTTGAATATACGCCAATTTAATTTGATTTAATTATTGCATATTTAAACTTACGTTGATAACATACTTTAACTGTTAAAAAATAAAATTTAAGAATCAAACCAAGTTTAAGCTATAGTTTAGAAATCAATATATTTTTTGCACCCATTTTAAAACACATGGCCAACAACCCTAACGAAAATGACTGGTAAGCATTAGAAAGAGAACTTTAAAGGCTCAGAATGTACTATGGCATTTTCTTGGCCACATGCCTCCACCTCTTCAATTACTCATTTGCACAAAGAGAAGTAAAAATACAAATAAATAAATAAATAAACCACATCCATACTGGTTTCGTCACAAAGAAATAATATCCACAAAGAAATAGAGATTAAAAATGTAGGTACTGTCGCAAATGTGTGTTGAACGACAACAACGGGTGATTTTTTATTGCACTGATTTTATTATTTCATCAACAAAATTTTCCATACAAAGTTACCATATATACATAGATACATTCTCAAATCTCAGTAATATTTTCCACCTTTGGGGAAGAGGTGAATCCAACAGAACAGTTCACGCCATATCCTAAATCTTACAATGATTACTATTTTGTGACATCTGTTACCAGACATGGATACGGTTGGAGTTGCTGTACCACGATTCCCTGGCGAAAGAACCAGTTAACCCACCGTCCCATAATCTAACAACGTTGCCGTTAAGCTCCGTCACGTCCTGCCACGTGTACCACCCGTTTTCACTCTCCCCGTTTCTCAGCCGTAACAGCCTCTCCCACCTCTCCCACCACTCCGTTCCGGAGCCGTCGCTCTCTTCACACGCCGTCGCGAACCCCTCGTTCTCGCTCTCGCTCTCGCACGTGCATTTCACGTGCTCCTCGTAATACGCTGTGAACTTCCCCTTCCTCACGCCGTCGACGTCCTCCTCCGCGCCGCCTTTAGCATTAATCGCTTCTCGCGTTGGCTCTGTCTTCTCCTGGTTGGAGGTCTGCCGGTCGGGCCCGGCGGAGGGTTGGGTCTCGGGTATGGGCCTGGGCGTGGGCCTGGGGCAGCCCGCGGATCGGATCTTCCAGAAGCTGAGTGCGGCGGTGAGAAGAGCGAGCCAGGTCCATAAACTGTGGAGCGCAGTGAGCAAACCGAAGCTCAAGTAGTTGAAGGCTAAAGCTTCGACGTTAGAATCGAGCACGTTCATGTTGTTTTGCTGTGTGTGCGTGGGTGCACTATTGGATTGAAGATTTTGCGTTGTGAGAGAAGAACTGAATGAGAGGGAGGAAGATATAAGGGTAAGAGACAGAGGAGGGTGGGATCTCTAATAAGATGCCAGAATCGGGACCGAAGATGCTACTCACAATGTCCGCTTTCATCACAAAAAATAAATTTTTCATTCTTATTATTAATATTATGACTGTGGTTGTTCCATTTTCGCACTTTTTTTTTCATTTTTTTTATTGAAGAAATTGTCTTATAATATCAGCATACATATATTTATTTCAGTAAGAAAAAATTAAGTGAAGACATTTTAATTCAAAGGAAGAATGTAAGGTTGTTGTGAATTCTGCCCTCTTTACAATAATCTTTTACACAAATTATTGTGGATCGATCATCTAATGGGTTTAAGCATTAAATTGGTCTCTTTTTAAAATAAATTTATTTTTGAGAGAATTATATAGATGAAAACACCACTTTATAAAGATAAAGTTATGTTTTAATACTCGACTTTAGATTATAAATATATCTTTTCAAGTTTACGAAGAAGTCATATTCTAATTCTTAATTTCCACTTTAAAATATCTTTAAAAAATCATTGAAGTTGCAAATTATCGTGCTATTTTGTTGTTTTTTTCAAATACGATTTGTCAGTTTTTTTAATGACTAAAGTGGTAAGTTATCATACGACTTTGTTTTTATTATTATTATTTTTTTAAAAAAAACCTGAAGCTGTATTTGTTGGAAGTCCCACATCGATTAGAGATAAGATCAATTTATAGTTTATAAGTGTGTGCAAACCTTACCTTATAAGCAGATTTTGTGGGGTTGAGTTAGGCTTAAAATCTATTTCTAATTACATTTACTTATACAAGTTTGACTTTGAATATATTTTTACTTTGGAAATACTTTTGTTTTTATTTGTTTTTCATTATTTTAAGGTAGATGATATTAAACTTTTGTTAACCTTATAAATAGTGTGTAAATTGTACACATTATCAACAAACGAGTCTAGTTGTAAA